CTAGAGCCCCTGCTGCCGTGGACAAGCTCGGTTCTTCTCTCGCCCCTGCCTCCTCCTCCCCTGTTTGTGGGGAAAGTCTGAGCACAGGCAGCCACTCAGACCTGCAGATCCTCCAAGGGCCTCTTGCCTTTCCCAGGGCTTCTGGCCCCAGTCACGTGGTGGGCAAGGTCTGAGAGTCCCGGACTCATCCCTGGTGTACGCTGAGGCCCTGGGGGCACCAGACCAAAGTGCAAGAGTGGCTCAGAGCCCACCTTACCCCCAACCTGGCCCCAGGCCAGTTGTCCCATCTGGGCTGTTGGTCACAAGTTGGATGCCCATGCTGAAATTTGGTTTCTTGGAAAGGAACAGTTCTTTTTGCCACATCTCCTCCCTGTTCTGTCCCCCAGGCCACAGCAAACAGCAGTGTGTCGTGCCACTGGCCAAACAGGCTAGAGGAACGTGGGGATAACTCAGACGCCCCTAGTCCTGCTGCTGAGAAGGCGGCCCAGCAGCATAACCCCACCAGGACACAGGCTTCCAGGCTTTCTCTCTTAGAGGTTGCTCCACCACAGAGAGGGCTGAGGGCTGGGAAGCACACAGGGGCTTTGAGCCAGCTACGCTCACTGTTCCTGGGCAGAAGCTGTCTTTAGCAGCAGACACAGTGGAGGCTGGACAGGGTTTGGAAACCCATCTTCTCCTCCGCATGGGCTGTACAGGGCAGAACAAAGGAGATGACAGTGGAGGGCACAGTGGAGCCCTAAATGTTCTCACTGCCCACACTGCAGCTGGCAGCTCCAGGCTGACCATGGCCAGACCTGTCTTCCCCCTAAGGCCTCCACACAGCCATCCCTCTGCTTGGAATGTTCTCCCTCCCACTCTCCTCTGTGCAGAGGTGGTTTCCTCTTGCCCTTTCTACATATCTGTGCAAATGTCTCCTCTGAGGTGTCTTCCTTCACCTCTCTGGTATGTTACACTTATAATCTGAAATTCTCTTTTTCATTTATGTAGTTGTTTAATTCCCTCTATCCCAGTGAATGCTAGTTTCCAGAAAGGCAAAACTACATTTGCCTTCCCCCCATTATGGAATCCCTAAGACTTAGCACTGCATCTAATACAAGTGGTGGCCAATACACTTTTTGTTAAATGAATTTTTATTCAACCTTACCTCCTACTGCTTTCCAGTAGGAACCTGCTCTACTCCAGGCCATATTTTCCCAGGCAGACCACACACGGACTCTCCTGGCCACTTCACCCCCAACCCCAGCCTGAAACTGCCTCTCAATTTCTAATCACAGGGTTTGGTTCTTGTCATATTCTTTCTATTCCAAAATCTCTGCATCATCCCTGCCCTACTCCCAGTCCCCTGAAACCTCTTCCTTTCCTTATCCCCTACGTCCTTTGGTGTATCCGACTTGGTGCCTAATGGGGCTGCTTCCTATTATTAATTCTCATGTAACATGGAACCCAGACTCCTTCAGTCCAACTGTAAGTTCCTCAGAGACAGGAGCCTATGCCTCAGGCTTTATCCCAGGCCTTCTCCACAGTTAGTCCTCAGAAAAGTTTTTGGCTCTTGTGGATAATGGGTGTATTAATCAGAACCTCCTGGGCTGTGACTAACAGAAATGGAAATGAGTCTACTTTATTTTATAAAATAAGAGAGGAATTCACCAGTCTGCATGACTAAAACTCCCAGGCTTTGTCCAGAGATTTACTCTCTGGTGGCAGATCTCATCTCTCTAACTTCTGCATGGGCGTCATTCCCAGGGGGGCTCTCTGGCCCAGAGAGTAAGATGGGTTCCAGGCTCACACTCCATTGGCTGAATACCCGCAGAGAAAGAAAATTCCTCTTTCTCAGGAGTCCCCACAGTGATTCTCATTGGCCTGGTTTGAGTCACGTGCCTATCTGGATTCAGTCTCCAGGGCTAGACAGGCGGAATGCTCCTGGATGAATGACAGCCCACTCCTAGGTCTAGGATGGGATTATCTTCCCCCAACCACATGGAGAGGGGTTATTCCCAAAAGGAAATCGCTGGCTGGGGAGGAGTTATGAAAAGAAAGGGGCCCTGGCTGGTGTGGCTCAGTGGATCGAGTGCTGGTCTGTGAATCCAAAGGTTGCTGGTTCGATTCCCAGTCAGGACACATGCGTGAGTTGCAGGCCAGGTCCCCAGTTGGGGCTGTGCAAGAGGCAAACACACATTGATGTTTTTCTCCTTCCATTCCCCTCTCTCTAAAAATACATAAATAAAATCTTTAAAAAAAAGAAGGAAAGAAAAGGGGAAGTGATGGTGGGTATGCAAAACAAAGGATGTTAACTATAAGCATGTCCAGAGCCCAGCTTCAGTGAGGACTTTAAGATACCTCAGGTCAGCCTGCCCATCAGAATCCTAGGGGACCAGCTTGCCCTGCTTGGAGAAGGAGGGTGTGCTCTTGGGGTCTGGGCAGATGTCCAGGGACAGAATAGGGATCCTAGAATGAAGTGCCTGCTGAGTTCTGGCACTCACAAGCTCAAGATTATGATTTGGTTGGCCTAGTGTAAAACCTTTGTCAGAGTTCCAGGGCTGATTCTGCTATATGGTCACGGTTGAAAAGTTCTGCCTTAGGAAATGATGTTCTACGGCAGCAAAAAGGAAACATATTAGCTCTTCAAGACAATGTCTCCTGTGTTAGAATCAGAATGGTTCTCCCTTTCTGTACCACTTGTCAGAAAAGGGTCACTGGGGCTTGCTTGGAGTCTGAGGATGGGTGGGTGAACTGTGGCTGACGCTGTAGGTCAAAAGTCCCTGGAAACAATAGCCACTGTTTATTGAAAGCCAACTGCAGGGACGGCACTGTGCTTTGGGACCTCAGAGATGGCGGTCCATGTAAGTGTCAGCCCTGACGACAATTCTTCCATGTGGGTGTCATTAACATTAGCCTTATTTTACAGCTGAAAAAAGCGAGATACAAAAAGCCCGGGGAAGGAACCCCACCAGGGAATGGTAAAAATAGTCATTCAGAAATAGAACTGTCTGACCCTGCCTGGCCTGGCCTTCCTGCCCCGCAGGAGGCCTCAGACAGGCTCATCATTCCTGCCCCTTAATGGACAACTCGGTGGATGGTGGGATTGGGCCCCCTACCTGGCCCTAGGCACTGGGATGGGGAGCTCAGACCTAGAGCAGAGAGGCAAGGGGGTCCTCGTTCATTGCTGGGTTCCTTAAGTAGATTTTTGTAAGAAAATGTCTGTGTGTGTGTGTGGCGGGGAATGGCTACATAGGGATGAAGCACAATAGAGTTACAACCCCATCCCCACCCCGCATTCAAACCCCTTGACCCCGACCGCATGAGGCTGTTTGAAGGTTCTCAGAGACCTAGACCTGTCCCCGTCCCTCCTGGTGTCACTGGCACCCTCCTTCCGCGCACACACACACTTTCCGCTTTCTTTTTCAATTCAGAAAAACAACACCTCCCCTAGATTCAAAGCTAGAGCTGGAGACTTCCGCTCCAGCTCCCGGAATCCCTGTGGTCTTTGGGCTGCGCTCTTGACTACGGGGTAACCGGGACGGTGAAGGGCTTCCCTGCTCGCGTCCGATTCCTGGGAGACCTGCAATATCGGTTCCCGCCTACACCTCTCCCCCTCCAAGCCAGGGAGGGGGAGTGTTACCCCGCTCGGAGTCTGGCCGCCTCGGCGGTGGCGGCTCCCCGGGGACTGCAGGGAGAGCCCAGACTGCGCGCCTGCTCAGTTCGAGCTCACTGCGTCTAAAGGCTCCCGGGGTCTGGCTCCGCGCCCAGCACTGGAGGCGGGAGGGGGAGCAGGAAGACAGCAGAAGAGCCCATTCGAACAGGGACTCAGGGAAACCAGCTGGAGAGCGACCTCCAGGGGGCAGCACCAAACCGCTCCGCAGGGCCTCTGCGTGCTAGTATGGGGTCCCCAGACTGTCCATAGGGAAGCCCCCTTTTCAGATTCCCGCACTGTCCACCCCACCTCCAACTTGCTCTGGATAAAGATGGGAAAGTCCCCCACCACCACAAGGATCAACAGCTTCTGATGGCAAAAAGACTCTCCTAAGGCAATCAGATTCCCTCATCTGGTCACCAAAGGTGGTCTCTCTCCCGGAGAAAGCTAGGGAATAGCCTTTCCGTTCTCAGTGGCGCAGAAGGATCCCTAGGCTCCGATATCCCATTTGAAAATGTCGGGGAAGCAGGCGACCAACGCAAAGCACTGGAACCATCTGGCTAGTGTTTCTTAGCCTCAGTTTCCCCCGTGAAACCTGGAAAAGGGTTGTGCCGTTGGTCGAGGCCCCGGGTCAAGGTCCCGCCTCTCCTGGGCGGCCTCTGACCCCGCCGGCCTAGCCGCTCCTCCCCTTCGCTCCCGCCTGGCTCCCACGGTCCCAGAGGTAGGCGGGCGGGCACTGGATGACGGCGACAGAACCCTGGCCCTACTCGCCCTCGCCCCCGCCCTGGGCCGGGCTTCCCCAAGCCAGTCTCCTTCAGAGCCTCATGAGCCTCAGTGCACTTCGCGCTCCCCGCCGGAGCCCTCCTCTCCAGGGTGTCCCCAGCTCGTGCGCGCGTTCGGGCTCCCGGTTTGGAACCGGGGAGGAGGGAGGGAGCCAGGGAGCAGCAAGCAGCGACCCGGAAACGCCATATAAGGAGGAGGAAGGATCCCCCGGCCGGAACAAGCCTTATTTGGTCAGCACCTTATATGGAGCAGCTCTATATGGCCTGGCCACTTCCGGCTGAGGGAGGAGGGAGGAAGGAGGAGGGAAGGGGCGGGGGCAACGTTGGGAACTCCCGGGCAGCCTGTGTCCAGGAGTCCCCAGCTACGGTGTGAGACTTAAGCTTTCTCCAGACCTGGACGCTCAGAGTGCGGGAGCAGGAGCACGGCCTGGGGTGCGGGATGGCTGTGCCCACCGCTTTCGGATAGGGGGCTTCACGTCACTCCGGGTCCTCCCCGCCGGTCTTGCCATATTAGGGCTTCCTGCTTCCCATATATGGCCATGTACGTCATGATGGAGGCGGGCCGGTGTGGTTACAGACCCTTCAAATAGAAGCGGATCCGGGGAGTCGCGAGAGATCCCAGCGCGCAGAACTTGAGGAGCCGCCGCCGCCGCCTGCTACCGCCGCCGCCAGCTTCCGCCGCCCAGGACCGGCCCCTGCCCCAGCCCCGGCAGCAGCGCCGCGTCCCCACCGGCCGGCGGCGAGGGCAAGCCTGGAGACTCCACCTGCGCTCTCCACTGTGTGCCCCACGCCCCGCATGTGATCCAGCCAGGCCCCCGAGAGTGTGTCCCCCCAAGCGCCCGTCCCGGGCTGCGCCCACCCACCCCAACACCAGCTCTCCAGCCTGCCTGTTTGGGATGGCCGCAGCCAAGGCCGAGATGCAGCTGATGTCTCCGCTGCAGATCTCCGACCCGTTCGGCTCCTTCCCTCACTCGCCCACCATGGACAACTACCCTAAGCTGGAGGAAATGATGCTGCTGAGCAACGGGGCTCCCCAGTTCCTCGGAGCCCCCGGCGCCCCCGAGGGCAGCGGCGGTAACAGCAGCAGCAGCAGCGGGAGCGGTGGAGGTGGAGGGGGCGGCAGCAGCAGCAGCAGCGGCAGCGCCTTCAACCCTCAAGGGGAGACGGGCGAGCAGCCCTACGAGCACCTGACCTCAGGTAAGGGCGGGGGGCTATGCCGGGGATTATCCCCTTCGCTACCATCCTAGCGTCCAGTCCTTCCTCACAGCCTTTGCAGCTCTCCCTTAACCGCAGCAGTGCTGCTGGACCTCAAGGATGCAAGTGGGGTTTCCCTTCCATTCCTCAATTCCCCAGGGTCATGTGCTAGAGGGATGCCTAGGGACACCCACCCCCACCCTCCACGTCCTTAACGGTGCGCAGAGGAGCGAGCTTTTGTTTTGGATGAAGAGCTCTGGGGCTGCGTGGGTGGGTGGGGGTGGGGGTGAGGGGAGGGCTTGTTTTGATAAGCAGGGCTGCGAGGCGCTTTCCTCCTCCTGAAAGGCTTTCTTGCCTGCCGCCTGTCCCCAAGGAAGGGCCGTAATCCATGGCGAGGGGTGTCCCGGCAGCCCGGGGCAGGGGATGCGCACTAGCGGTGGCCAAAGGGGTGCTGGCGGGAATCCCTGGGCTGCGCAGCCGCAGCTGCGGAGCGCTGGGAGCTGCAGTGGAGGGGGATTCTCCGTATTTGCGTCAGCTGTTGTTGAAATGGGCTCTGCCTCTGGAGCGAGTCCAGGAACATTGCAATCTGCTGCTATCAATTATTAACTAGCTCGGCAGTCAATGGTAGCCGGCCCGACCTCTTGCCTGGCAGCTCTGCTCCTCCTAGTCCTCCAGTGATTGCTCTCCAGTAACCGAGCCTCCTTTCTCTCTTTCTCCTACCAGAGTCTTTTCCTGACATCTCTCTGAATAACGAGAAGGTTCTAGTGGAGACAAGTTATCCCAGCCAAACCACCCGGCTGCCCCCCATCACCTACACTGGCCGCTTTTCTCTGGAGCCTGCACCCAACACTGGCAACACCTTGTGGCCTGAACCCCTCTTCAGCCTGGTCAGTGGCCTGGTGAGCATGACCAACCCACCGGCCACCTCAAGCTCAGCACCATCTCCAGCGGCCTCTTCCTCGTCCTCTGCCTCCCAGAGTCCACCCCTGAGCTGCACAGTGCAGTCAAATGACAGCAGCCCCATTTACTCAGCGGCACCCACCTTCCCCACGCCGAACACTGACATCTTCCCTGAGCCGCAAAGCCAGGCCTTTCCAGGTTCTGCAGGCACTGCTCTCCAGTACCCGCCTCCTGCCTACCCTGCTACCAAGGGTAGCTTCCAGGTCCCTATGATTCCAGACTATCTGTTTCCACAACAACAGGGGGACCTGGGCCTGGGCGCCCCAGAGCAGAAGCCTTTCCAGGGCCTGGAGGGTCGTACCCAGCAGCCTTCGCTCACTCCACTCTCTACCATCAAGGCCTTTGCCACACAGTCGGGCTCCCAGGACCTGAAAGCTCTCAATACCACTTACCAGTCCCAGCTCATCAAACCGAGCCGCATGCGCAAGTACCCCAACCGGCCCAGCAAGACACCTCCCCATGAACGCCCCTATGCCTGCCCAGTGGAGTCCTGTGACCGGCGCTTCTCCCGTTCAGATGAGCTCACCCGCCACATTCGCATCCACACTGGCCAGAAGCCCTTCCAGTGTCGGATCTGCATGCGCAACTTCAGCCGCAGTGACCACCTCACCACCCATATCCGTACCCACACAGGCGAGAAGCCCTTCGCCTGTGACATTTGTGGGAGAAAGTTTGCCAGGAGTGATGAACGCAAGAGGCATACCAAGATCCACTTGAGGCAGAAGGACAAAAAAGCAGACAAAGGTGTCGTGGCCTCTTCCGCCACGCCATCACTCTCTTCCTACTCATCACCAGTGGCTACCTCCTACACCTCCCCGGTCACTACCTCTTATCCATCCCCAGCCACCACCTCATACCCATCGCCTGTGCCCACCTCTTACTCCTCTCCTGGCTCCTCGACCTACCCATCCCCTGTGCACAGCGGTTTCCCCTCTCCTTCAGTGGCCACCACATACTCCTCTGTTCCCCCTGCTTTCCCGGCCCAGGTCAGCAGCTTCCCTTCCTCGGCTGTCGCCAACTCCTTCAGCGCCTCCACAGGGCTTTCGGACATGACAACAACCTTTTCTCCCAGGACAATTGAAATTTGCTAAAGGAAAAGAGGAAAAGGGGAAAGGGGAGATAAACACAGGAGACTTAAAGGACAGGAGGAGGAGATGCCCATAAGAGGGTTTCCTCTTAGGCCAGATGGAGGTTCTCAGAAGAGCCAGTCCTCCCCCTCCACTTGACCCCAGGGTCAGTGTGGAAAGTCTGTTGGCCAACAATCCTTTTTGCCCACTTCCCCTTCCTCCTCTACTCCCTTTGACTTCAGCTGCCTGAAACAGCCATGTCCAAGTTCTTCACCTCTATCCAAAGAACTTGATTTGCATGGATTTTGGATATATCATTTCAGTATCATCTCCACCATATGCCTGACCCCTTGCTCCCTTCAACGCTAGAAAATCGAGTTGGCAAAATGGGGTTTGGGCCTCTCGGAGCCCAGCCCTGACCCTTGTACAGTGTCTGTGCCATGGAGTTTGTTTTTCTTGGGGTACTCTTGATGTGAAAATAATTTGCATATTCTATTGTATTATTTGGAGCTAGGTCCTCACTTTGGGGGGTGGGGGAAGAAAAGCCCAGCAAACCAGTGGTGATTCTTTATGTTGTGATGATGCTGTGGCGATGAAGTTTGAAGCTTTTTTTGAAACAGCAGTCCTTGGTATTAGTCAGAGCATGTGTCGGAGTGATGTTCCGTCAACTTTTTTTGTAAATATTGCCCGACTATTCTCACATGTGGCAAAATACGGTTTGGTTTTTCTTCTTCTTTTTTTTTTTTTTCAAAGTGGTTTTTTTTTTTGTTTTTTTTTTGTCCTTTTAGTTTAAAAAGTTTCATGTTTTGGTGCCTTTTGTGTGATGCGCCTTGCTGACAGCTTGACCTGTGCCAGTTTAAGGGACGTGCTCACCTCGAGCCTTAAGGGGAGCAGGGAGTGATGATTCGGGGAGGCTTTGGGAGCAAACTAAGGAAGAGGGCTGAGCTGAGCCTTGGTTCTCCAGAATGTAAGAAAACAAATCTAAAACAAAATCTGAACTCTCAAAAGTCTATTTTTTTAACTGAAAATGTAAATTTATAAATATATTCAGGAGTTGGAATGTTGTAGTTACCTACTGAGTAGGCGGTGATTTTTGTATGTTATGAACATGCAGTTCATTATTTTGTGGTTTTATTTTACTTTGTACTTGTGTTTGCTTAAACAAAGTGACTGTTTGGCTTATAAACACATTGAATGCGCTTTACTGCCATGGGATATGTGGTGTATATCCTTCAGCAAAATTAAAAGGAGAATAAACTAGCTGTGGTTGCACATGTCTTTACTGGGCTAGGGGTGGGCTCCCTAGTCCCTGTCCCTATTGAGGGGGTCAGTGGGCTTTTGCAGAGGTGAGGACATTCCCACTAGAGTCCGTAGGGCCCACTGTGTGTCACTGGAGTGAATTCTTTATGAGGACTGGGTGTGGGTCTCCTCTTTTGAATCTGGGCCAGTTCTGCCTTAGTCAGGTGGGCTGCAGCTTGATCTTGGTTGGTTAAAGCTAAAGAAGGCCAGAGTAAGGATGGAACATGTACGGTCAGAGGCAGTGCTATTCTCTTGGCCCCAAATATTCAGCGAGCCCTGCCCACCCCATCTCTACAAAAGGTTGGGAAAATCTATGTCCTCGGGAATTCTTGCCATGTACTTGGCAGGAGTCTTAACTCTTAAGGGGTGGGCACAAGGGCTTTGGGGAACAGTAAAAGCGGGAGCCAACTCAGCCTCTCCCTCCCAATATCCCCAGAAACCTGAGAGTGTTGAAGAAACCTAGAAGAGGTGAGGGCTGATTCTCAAGCCAAGAATCCTTCCAGGAAGAAATCCCATTACTTGCCAGCTGGAGCTGCCATCCTTGGCAGCTTCTGGGGACACAAGTCAGAGTGGGCAGGAGGCTGGTCTGGTGTTGAAGGTTCCCATCCAGACCGAGTCTGTACCTGTTTTGTTGGAGGCCTGAGATACTAGGTTCTTCTGGCCCCAGCACCATGAAGATCCACATATGAGCAGTCCTTGTGGGCTCATGAACATCCGCCTGTTCTGTGAGAGGCCTTGAGCTGGCCACAACAACAATGCAGATTGTCAGGGAGACAGATGTAAGTCAAAAATTATAACATGGTGTGATGTTATATAATATGGGCAAGCATGAAGCTCTATGGGATCACAGAGAAGGACACCCAACCCTGGGGCTTAGGAAAGGTGGAAAAATTGAGTTGGGAAGGGTAAGTACGAGTCAACCAGATTGGCTTCCTTCGTGTGTGAGACAGGAAGGGTGTTGGCTGAGTCTCTGCCAGGGAGCCTGGTGGAAGGATCACTGAATGGGAGTACTACCTCCGACCCTGCTACGAGTCTTCTGTGAATTGATCAGACACCATCATCCACTGGCCAGATGGGTGCAATAGATTTGGTGTCCTGGAGTTCCCAAGCCTTGGCTCCTCTCCCCATTTCTGACCCCCCAAATATAAGGACAATGAAGAATCGCTCTCCCTACCTCTTATGGTTCTTAGGCTCTGAGCGAAGTCAAGGCGTCCCCTACCTCCACTCCTCTTCTCTCTTGGGGTTTTCCCAGGTTACCAGTGGACCCCTCCGAGGGCCAGGGGAATTCCAGCAATCCCCTGGAACTGGCCCAGTTCTTTGCCTTCCATTCCAGGCTTCCTGACCAACACCATTATCTCTGCCTTTTCCCATGACACCAGCCTCCTCAGCGTGGAGCTGGGGGAACCAAGCAACCTTCTCTAGCACAAGGCATATCCTTTCGAGCCTCCAGGCAAAACCGCCAGGTCCTGATGGGACAATATTTGCATTGGCGCATCTCTTCCAGCCCCACCTACCTCTCCCCACCTCGCTCTAAGCCCAGGAACACAAGTCTATGCCTGTTATACATTCTTCAGAATTTCTCCCACATACTCCCAAGAAACAAAACATGGCGAGAATGAAATGTGAAAGAAAGAGCAAAGAGAATCTGTCCTTTTAGAGCACAGGGTCTCCTATGTTATTGCCACGCATCATCCGATTCTTAAGGTCTGGGATAGGGTCCCGGGACTGGTTTCGGCAGCAAGCACCCCAGGTGACCGACGCAGACGGCTTGGTGAGGCACTCTGCCAAGGCTGCCGGCTACTTTTTATAAGTCCTGTCAGCAGGGTGTCTTTAGGTTCTGACGATCCAAACTCAAATTTCTTGGCATGGTTAAAATAGGGCAAGACTCAAAAATTGTCCCATTTTACAATCCTATAGTATAAAATAAAAAGAAAAGTGTTCATTTTAACTCCTGCTTCTGTGAGGGAAATCTGAAACCAAGGGCACAGGGCAGTGCTGATAAAAGCTATCATCATAAAGGCTGAGGTTTGGAAAGGGACCCAGATAGTGTTGAATAACTGTTTGCTACCTGGGGACATTGTCTAGGGCTTTAGGACTGTGGAGAAGGACAGAGAGAAGTCAGGTGGTACAGGAGAGAGGGCGGGGGAGCTCCTCCAGGAAAGTATGGGTTTAGATTCTGAAGTCAAAGAAAGAACTATGTCTTAAGGCCCCTTGACGCTTCCTCCCAGGACCTGAGAGAGACTCTTCTCTGGATTTCAGAAATGTTCAACCTCATTCATTTCCAAAGATTCTAAGCACTGAGCCTGATTGTCAGGCTGAGTTGTCTACCTCCTCCCACTCAGAGCTTCCCCTTCCCAGCGAGAAATGGAGTCAGGAAAGTATACTATAGCCTCGGAGGCGCACCCGCAATGGCCCCCTCTCTCCCCATCCCTGCTGTTTCTCCTGGTTCAGCCGTACTCAGGATGGGCTGAGACCGGAAGATTGGGCAGAGCGAGATCTCAGAGTCGTGAAGAAAATGAGGCCAAGTCTAAAAGAATCAGGTATTGAACAAGTAACATTTTACCCATAAACCTTTGGGTGCGAGTAAGTTTTTTGCACCCAAATATAAAATCTAGCCCTCTACTTCAGTGCTTTTTCTTCCAGTTTCCCTTTTCTAACTAGTTTCCTAGTTAGATTACTAGGATCTAACAGAGCCTTTTGAGGCAAAGCAGACTTAAGTTCTTGCAGGTCAAGTTGGTGACTCAGCTCTTCAGAGCCAAGTGACACTGTCTCATTTTCCTTCTCAGGGAAGTCTCTCTCACAGGCTCATTCTCTCCAGTACTTAGATTGTCATCATCATCATCATCGTCATTATTATTATTAGGACTTTATTAAGATGCAGTTGAGATGCAGTAAACTGTACATACAGAGTGTCCAATTTAGGAGTCGATGTATGTATATGCATAGGTGAAACCATCCCCACAGTTAAGATAATGAACCTGTCCACAACCTCCAGAACTTTCCTTGTGCCCTTGGTGATCTTTTCTTCTTCCGCCCTGGTCCCAAGCAACCATACACTTGTTTTCTGTTGCTATTAGTTGGCATTTTATGGTGTTTCATATAAATTGAATAATTCAGTATGTACTCATTTTGATCTGGGTTCTTTCACTTAGCATTATTTTCAGATTCATTCATGTTGTTGCATAAATAAATAGTTCACTCCTTCTTATAGCATTCCACTGTAGGGCTATGGTACAGTCTATCCGTGCTTTCACCTGCAGATAGATATTTTGGTGTGCTGCCTCTGGGGCCACTATCAATATAAATAAAGCAGCGTGCACATCTGAGTACAGGTCTGTGGGCGGATGTGTCCCCATTTACTCCAAAGCCCCCATTCTGGCTCTTTCATCCCACCCTGTCTCCCCTCACCTTTCTTTTACTCAAAGCAAGAATCACCCAGCTCCCCACATGGTCAGAGTCAGGGCCCAGACTCCTAAGGAGGTTGCATTATTTAATCTTTCCTCCAGTGAACAGAGCCAGCCCCTTCATAATTTTTATTGCTCTATTTCAAACTCCCTCCCATTTGCTTATTCCTTCCTTCAGCTTGGCAAAGGTACATAAGTCCTTGGTGATACTTTTCTGTGTAGAAAGGTACCTCATAGATGGTAGGCTATGCATTGATTAGACACTCCTACATCAAAAGGAGGAAGGGGCACCCTGGCTGGTGTAGCTCAGTGGATTGAGTGCTGGCTTGCAAACCAGAAGGTCATTAGTTCAATTCCTGGTTAGGGCACATGCCTGGGTTGCTGGCCAGGTCCCTTGGGGGTGTGCTAGAGGCAACCACACATGAATGTTTCTCTTCCTTTCTTTCTTGTTCCCTTGCCCTCTCTCTAAAATATCTCTAATAAAATATTTTTTAAAGGAGGAAGTGGCTAAGATCAGATGATATAGGAAGTTACCTTGTGGGGGACTAGTCCTAAGAGGTTATCTGTACACTTTGTCCTTGTTAGGATCTTCCGGGGATTCTTCCTCAGAGGGTCTTTCTGAAACACAGGCCCCCTCACCGACTGGTTGTCCCAAACCCTGTATCCTACCTGCTCCTCAGTTCTGAAATAGGGTTCAGCTTCATCTTCTCTTTCTTCACTGTGGGCCCAGGGAGCCTGGGACTGTGGAGCAGCCCGAGCGAGAGGGGACGCTGAGGCCAGAGAGTTGGTTTTGGTCTGAGCTCCCGACTCTGAGAAACTGGCCCTTGCTGCCTGCCCAGGTATGTGTTAAGGCTGAAGTGGGGAGAGGGCGGCTTTGCTTATTTTATAAAATTATTCCTAATAATTAGCTTTTCCACACAGATGACGAGTGTTGGTGTGGATGTGGGAAAGCCCGGAACCCTCATACATTCCTGGTGGGCGTGGGAAAAGGTGCCACCACTTTGGAAAACGGTTTAGCAGCTCCACTCCCGGGTATGTGCCCAAGGGAAACAAAAATGTGTTCATTCAAGGATATGTGTGCAAGTGTTCTAGCAGCATTATTCATTCATAATAGCCAAAAAGTGGAAACGACCCAATGTCTATTTAACTGGTCGATGCACGAACAAGATGTGGTACACCTGAACAATTAAACACCATTCAGCAATAAAAAAGAACAAAACGCGAGTGTGTGCTACAGCATGGATAAACCTAAAAAACATTATGATAAAGAAGTTGGGTAGAGCCCTGGCCAGGGTGGCTCAGTTGGTTGGAGCATTGTCTGTAAACCAGAGGGTCATGGTTCGACGCCCTGTCAGGCCGCACGCCCACCTTGAGGATTCAGTCCCTGGTCAGGGCACGTGTGAGAGGCAACTGATGAATGTTTCTCTCTCCCTCTCCTCCCCCCATTTCTAAAATCAATAAGTATGTCCTTCGGTGAGGATTAAAAAAAAAGAAGTTAGGTACATACTGTATGATTGCATTTGCATTTATATTAAATATCCAGAAAAGGCAAATCCG